TGCTACTCTCCTATTTCTATCCTTCTTCTGATCTGCTTTTGTCCTACTTCTATCCAACATCTGACCTGCTTCTTCTGTTCTTCTGGCCTTCTTTTATCCAGTCTATCCTACTTCTATCCTTCTTCTGACCTGCTTCTCCCATGTCTATCCTTCTTCTGACCTGCTTCTCCCATGTCTATCCTTCTTCTGACCTGCTTCTCCCATGTCTATCCTTCTTTTGTCCTACTTCTATCCTTCTTCTGACCTGCTTCTACCAAGTCTATCCTTCTTCAGACCTGCTTCTCCCATGTCTATCCTTCTTCTGACCTGCTTCTTCCATGTCTATCCTTCTTCTGACCTGCTTCTCTCTCCATGTCTATCCTTCTTCTGACCTGCTTCTCCCATGTCTATCCTTCTTCAGACCTGCTTCTCCCATGTCTATCCTTCTTCAGACCTGCTTCTCCCATGTCTATCCTTCTTCAGACCTGCTTCTCCCATGTCTATCCTTCTTCAGACCTGCTTCTCCCATGTCTATCCTTCTTCAGACCTGCTTCTCCCATGTCTATCCTTCTTCAGACCTGCTTCTCCCATGTCTATCCTTCTTCTGACCTGCTTCTTCCCATGTCTATCCTTCCTCTGACTGCTTCTCCCATGTCTATCCTTCTTCTGACCTGCTTCTCCCATGTCTATCCTTCTTCAGACCTGCTTCTCCCATGTCTATCCTTCTTCAGACCTGCTTCTCCCATGTCTATCCTTCTTCAGACCTGCTTCTCCCATGTCTATCCTTCTTCAGACCTGCTTCTCCCATGTCTATCCTTCTTCTGACCTGCTTCTCCCATGTCTATCCTTCTTCAGACCTGCTTCTCCCATGTCTATCCTTCTTCTGACCTGCTTCTCCCATGTCTATCCTTCTTCTGACCTGCTTCTCCCACGTCTATCCTTCTTCTGACCTGCTTCTCCCACGTCTATCCTTCTTCAGACCTGCTTCTCCCATGTCTATCCTTCTTCTGACCTGCTTCTCCCATGTCTATCCTTCTTCTGACCTGCTTCTCCCATGTCTATCCTTCTTCTGACCTGCTTCTCCCATGTCTATCCTTCTTCTGACCTGCTTCTCCCATGTCTATCCTTCTTCTGACCTGCTTCAAGTGAGTTTTGCATTCTTATAGTGTCATGTTTCGGAAGATATGACGACACACAGGGATGATTTTTTTTAAAACTGGAGAGTACAAAATCAGGTGCAGCTCTGCAGACAAACCAATCAGCTTCCAGGTTTTATTGTCCAAGTTTAATTGAACAAACTGAAGTGAGAAGCTGATTGGCCGCCGTGCAGCCGCACCAGATTTTGCACTCTCCGGGTTTTTTTAGTAAATCCCCCCGCAGTTACAATTCACTTTTGATGGATTTGGTCTGAAGAGACTTTTATTTGACACACTTAAAGTAGATTTATACACGTGTAGCCGGTGAAGTCCGCATTCAGATCGCGCTCCAGAAGCTACTGACAGCCGCGGAGGAAGAGACGTTTTAACCCCATTTTTGCCGACAATCGCGCTGCAACAATGTTAACAAACAGAGACGACGGCGAGGATTTCTGGCCGCAGCTCTGAACGCGCCGCGGGATATTTTGCGGACGTGGCGCCCGTCTCTTCCTCATAAATCTCGCCCGTCCGGTGACAGTTCTCTCCTTGGCAGTGCAGGAACGCGGCACAGTCAGTGTGTCTCCGCCCCCAACACACCGGGTCTCAACTTGTCTCTGGAGGAATGAGGGGACCTGTCAGCTGATGAGAGACGGACGCCCCCGGCGACAGGCGAGGAGAGGAATCCGGGACACAATTATGGCACGACACCCAAAATCTCTTCTTCCCAGAAGCCACTGCTCTGCTTAACCCTTCCACCCCGGAATATGCGTTGTGACGTCACCCGCCTGGCTGGGGACACACTGTGACATCACCCGCCCGGCTCGGGACACCCCGTGACGTCACCCGCCCGGCTCGGGACACGCTGTGACGTCACCCGCCCGGCTGCGGACACGCTGTGACGTCACCCGCCCGGCTGCGGACACGCTGTGACGTCACCCGCCTGGCTCGGGACACGCTGTGACATCACCCGCCTGGCATCACTGGGTCTCTGTGCTTTTCTATGCATTATTTACCAATAGCAATAATTTGGTAGGTAGACTTACAAGATAGATGTCAGGGGTTCCTGGTGCATAAATCCATCCGCGGGCCTGAAAAGAAACAGCAGAGAACTTTAGCTCGAGCTGCAGACAGTCTTGTGTCACCTAGAACTACAGAGAGTCCTGTGTCACTCAGAGCTACAGAAAGTCCTGTGTCACTCAGAGCTACAGAGAGTCCTGTGTCACTCAGAGCTACAGAGAGTCCTGTGTCACTCAGAGCTACAGAGAGTCCTGTGTCACTCAGAGCTACAGAGAGTCCTGTGTCACTCAGAGCTACAGAGAGTCCTGTGTCACTCAGAGCTACAGAGAGTCTTGTGTCACTCAGAGCTACAGAGAGTCTTGTGTCACTCAGAGCTACAGAGAGTCTTGTGTCACTCAGAGCTACAGAGAGTCTTGTGTCACTCAGAGCTACAGAGAGTCTTGTGTCACTCAGAGCTACAGAGAGTCCTGTGTCTTTTACAGCTACAGAGAACCTTGTTTCCTTATAAGCAACAGAGAGTCTTGTGTCTCCTTCAGCTAAAGGGAGTCTTTTGTCCCTCAGAGTTACAGAGGGACTTGTGTCCTCAAGAGCCACAGAGTCTTGTATCTCCTTGAGCTAAAGGGGGTCTTGTGTTCCTTCAAGATACAGAGGTTTTGTTCCAAAGAGCTGCAGAGAGTCTTGTGTCCCCTTCAACTATAGAGAGTTTTGTGTACCCAGAGCTACAGAAAGTTTTGTGCCCCCTAAGAGCTACACAGTCTTGTGTCCCCTCAGAGCTACAGAGAGTATTGTGCCCCCTCAGGTCAGAGGGTTTTATGTTGTATAGAGCTGTGGAGAGTCTTGTGTCTGCTCTCAGCACTCCTCACACTTCAGGTTATCCATTCATCTGAGCAGCCGTTTCGGTGTCACATGACCACACAGGATACAATCTGATTGGACGATCTACCTGCTCCGTGCAGCTCGAGGTTCCTCCTGATTGGCTGCATCAGATCTCTCCTCCCCCCTGAGCTGGTTTCGGACACTCTGAAGTAGATTGTACAATTGGATTGTATGGTGTGTGGACGATGTAGGGGCGGATTCAGACATTGGTGGGCGGTCTCAGCCCCTCCTCCCCATATATATACAGACGGGCCCCAGAGGATCCACCACCGGCCGAGCTGATTATTGGGACCCCGGGAAGGCAGTGAAGGGGCCCTGTAATGATTATAGAAGGCGGCGACCGATCTCCGGGACTTCTACACCCAGACGGTGACCCGGGGGGAGGAGTTCCACAGGGCCCGCCAGCCCGGCTCTCAGGTGTGGCCGCTTGAAGGGGCGGGGACTGCAGCGGCGGAAGGGGCGTGTCTAGGTCTCCATGGTGATGGCGAAGTTTACCTGACAGAAGCCGCTAAAAGAGAGACCCGGGCCCGCCGGACCGATCAAGTACTACCGGGAGGGGGAGCTATAGAGACCCCACCGCCCCTCCCTCCCCCAAACTGCTTCCCCACACTGCACCCCCTCCCCCACACTGCAACCCCCCCACACACATACTGCAACCCCCCCATACCCTCCCCCGCAGTGCACCCCTCCCCCCCCCACACTGCAACCCCCCCCCCCCACACACACACACTGCAACCCCCCCATACCCTCCCCCACACTGCACCCCCTCCACCACACTGCAACCCCCCCAATACTCCTCACTGCACCCCTCTCCTCCCCATACCCTCCCCCCCCCACACTGCACTTCCCTCCCCACACACTGCACCCCACTTTGCCCCCCATACCCTCCTCCCCCACACTGCACCCCCTCCCGCACACTGCAACCCCCCATACCCTCCCCCACACTACATCCCCCTCCCCGCACCCCCTCCCCACACACTGCATCCTCCTCCCACACACTGCACCCCCCATACCCTCCTCCCCTCACACTGCACCTCCACCGCCCGCCCTTCCCCCACACTGCACCCCCCTCCAGTTTCTGCCCCCCCCCCGCATACTGCCGCACCCCTCTCCACCCCACACTACATCCCTCTTCCCGCACTGCACCTCCCTCCCCCCCACACTGCACCCCCTCCCCCACACTGAAACCCCCCCCATACCCTCCCCCGCACTGCACCTCCCTCCCCCCACACTGCATCCCCCTCCCCCGCACTGCACCCCTCCCCCCCACACTACATCCCCCTTCCCGCACTGCATCCCCCTCCCCCACAATGCACCCCCTCCCCCACACTGCCACCCCCCCCCCCATACCCTCCCCCACACTTCACCCCTCTCCCCCCCCTACACTACATCCCCCTTCCCGCACTGCATCCCCCCCACACACTGCACCCCCTCCACCACCCGCTCCTCCCCCACACTGCAACCCCCCATACCCTCCCCCACACACTACATCCCCCTCCCCACACTGCATCCTCCTCCCACACACTGCACCCCCCATACCCTCCTCCCCTCACACTGCACCTCCACCGCCCGCCCTTCCCCCACACTGCACCCCCCTCCAGTTTCTGCCCCCCCCGCATACTGCCCCACCCTATCCCCCCACATACAATCAGATTTCTGGATCACAGTTCCCTGGAGAGGTCCTGCATGTGTCCCCCGACCAGCCAATCAGATCACAGCAATCACTCCCCCTGTCATTGGTGGCTGGGGGGGGGCGATGACTTCCTCTGTGCTGCCTGTGATCAGTATGGGGGGGCGGAGTGTATAGCACAGGAGGTAGAGCCCACCTGAATATTTTCCACAATCCCCTGTACCTGAAACCAGGTCACATGTCTGTCCCTGGGGCCCCTCATGTTTGGGTCGGGGTTCTGCTTTGTGTCCCCCAATATATTCCATCCGCCATATTTAACCCCCACCCCCCACTAACTGTCTTAATTTCCCCCTCCCAGGTCCATGTGGAGCCCCTCTGACATGTTTCAGGCTCTGAGTGACCGGGACAGCGGCTATGGAGAGATGGGTGACCCCCCGCCGTCACTCTGGAGGATGGTGGAGGACCAGGTGCCCCCCAGTGAGAGGACTGAAATCCGGAGGATTCTGGGAGAGGTCGCCGTGGACCTGAGCCTGGACCTGCATGCCGAGGTGTGTGAGCACTGACATTGCCATAGCAACCCACAGGAGGGGGGCGGGCCAGCTGGGTATGGTACAAACCCAGGGGTCCCAAGGTGGAAGGGGCAAGGAGGGGTTAGGGCCCCTGTTAAGGGAAAGGACAGGAAGTGATTGGTGGAATGGGGGTTGGGGGTCGGACTATGTTCATGTCTGTGTCCTCCTGTCCCAGTGACACCCACACTCCACATTTTCTGTACAAGTGTCACCGGGACAGGAAGTTAAAGGAGACGTTCTCAATGGGGGGTCACGTGCAGAAATAAAGTGTTAGCTGCTCCCTGCTCCACCCAAAAATCAAAAACTGGATGGAGTCACACTTTAAATATTATTGGGAAAAAAAGACGTGAGCCTGGAACAGATGACTCTCTAAACGTAAAGCTCCGCCTCCTTTTTCCAATGCAGTGTAGGAAGAACAGAAGGCTCAGATGACTATTTATAGATAAAGCTCCACCTCCTTTTTGCACAGTGGGAGGGATGGAAGGCTCGGCTGACTTTTTATACTCGAAGGGGAGATGCCGATACACCTGTGCAAGACTGAAGGGGAGGAGCCGGTACACCTGTGCAAGACTGAAGGGGAGGAGGAGCCGGTACACCTGTGCAAGACTGAAGGGGAGGAGCCGGTACACCTGTGCAAGACTGAAGGGGAGGAGCCGGTACACCTGTGCAAGACTGAAGGGGAGGAGCCGGTACACCTGCGCAAGACTGAAGGGGAGGAGCCGGTACACCTGCGCAAGACTGAAGGGGAGGAGCCGGTACACCTGCGCAAGACTGAAGGGGAGGAGCCGGTACACCTGCGCAAGACTGAAGGGGAGGAGCCGGTACACCTGCGCAAGACTGAAGGGGAGGAGCCGGTACACCTGCGCAAGACTGAAGGGGAGGAGCCGGTACACCTGCGCGAGACTGAAGGGGAGGAGCCGGTACACCTGCGCGAGACTGAAGGGGAGGAGCCGGTACACCTGCGCGAGACTGAAGGGGAGGAGCCGGTACACCTGCGCGAGACTGAAGGGGAGGAGCCGGTACACCTGCGCGAGACTGAAGGGGAGGAGCCGGTACACCTGCGCGAGACTGAAGGGGAGGAGCCGGTACACCTGCGCGAGACTGAAGGGGAGGAGCCGGTACACCTGCGCGAGACTGAAGGGGAGGAGCCGGTACACCTGCGCAAGACTGAAGGGGAGGCTGGAGGTTGTGCATGTCATGGACAGGAGTTAATTTAAAACATCCTGAGAGGAGGTGTCAGCCTCATCAGTGATTCATATCATCCACTCGCTATGGCAGATGCGGCGCCATGTTTGCAGTCAGTGGCCCCAGTCTGCCTCCTCTTGGTGTGTTGGGTGTGGTCAGGGAATATTTTTGGCTGCCCTCTTATTGCATCATTCAGAATTACCATTTTTTGAGAGGGGGTTGGTGTACTTTGGGGGTTTTCATGCAGACACAATACAATGTCTTCGTGGTGAGCTGACTTCAGAGCACTCCGTACACTTGGCTGGATTGGACTTGGACAGCAGGGCCAGGCTTTGGGGTAGGCAGAAGAGTCACACTGCCTTGGGCACATCAGCAAGAAGGCGGCACAAAAAGGGAAGGACCTGAAACCTATGCAGATGAAGTAGCTCACAGCTAATGGGGCGGGGGCTCTGGTCTTTTCACCTTGGGTGGTAAAGGATCTTGACCCAGGACTGTTGGCCATTGGAGATCAGCCATTGGTGTTTGTAGACTCCTACAGACATGAAATCTTCATCAAATGTAGCTGAAAATGGCCAGAGTATACAACTGCCACCTCATATCTACACCATGTGGCCAAAAGTATGTGATCCTCCCTACAAATGAGTTTCACGTGTTTCCAGGTGCTCTTCCAACGTTGAGGTAAGTTTGGTGAAGACCCTGTTGTGTTGCAGCATGACTGTGCCCTGTGTACAAAGCCAGCATCATAAAGACATGGATGACCAGTTTGGTGTGGAGCAACTCGAGTATTCTGTACATAGCCCTGATATCAACTCTACTTTTGGAAGACCTTTGATATAAGGTCTTCTTCCTCAACAACAGTACCTACCCTTAACCCTACAGAAGACCTTTGGGATGAGGTCTTCCTATCCCAAAGGTGTTCAGTAGGTTTGAGGTAATGGAGGAACTCGATTGTCCTGCACAGAGCCCTGACCTCAATCTTACTCATCACCTTTGGCAGGAATGGGAACGTCGATGGTGAGCTAGGTCTTCTCATCCAACATCAGTACCTGATCTCACAAATGGACATAAATCTCCACAGATACCCTCCAAACCCCTGTAGAAAGCCTTCCCAGAAGAATGGAGGAGGGTAGAGCTACAAAAGGGGGCAACTCTGTATTAATGGCTGTGGGGGGAGGCAGGTCAGTCCATATTAATGGCCATGGTTTTGGAATATCCAACAAAATCATATAGGTGTGATGGTCAGGCGTCCACAGGCAGGCCATGTGTGTATATATATATATATATATATATACACGGCAATGAGCCAAGTGACCCTTTCTATTTTTTTTTTTGAGTGTTTTTGTTAGTCTTTGTAGTTCCTCCATCCGATCCCTGGGGACCTGCCTGGCTGAGATATTGAAGTAGTGGAGGACTGTTTGTTTGGTGTATGTGAATTGCTGCATTCACCTCCAGCTTTACATGGAAATTCAAACAATCTGGACGTTGTATAATAAAATTCACATTGTCTTTGCCCAGAGCCCCCGGTGGGGGTAGAAAAGTTAAATAACTTCACTAGTGGGAAAGTAAACAAGTCGTGTTGTGTTACCAAACATTGCACATGGCTTTGTCCTCGTTTATGATTCCTTCAGTCCCCTTTGCTCATTCTGGTCCCAACATTTCACCAGTTCCTCCACCTCTGTCCTGCTCACCATTCTCTCTTCTCTCTCTCCTTCCCTTCCCTCTCTGTCTCTTCTCTCCTTCCCTTCCCTCTCTGTCTCTTCTCTCCTTCCCTTCCCTCTCTGTCTCTTCTCTCCTTCCCTTCCCTCTCTGTCTCTTCTCTCCTTCCCTTCCCTCTCTGTCTCTTCTCTCTCCCTTCCCTTCTCTCTGTCTCTTCTCTCCTTCCCTTCCCTCTCTCTCTCTCTCTCCTTCCCTTCTCTCTCTCTCTTCTCTCCTTCCCTTCTCTCTCTCTCTTCTCTCTTCTTCCTCTCTTCCTCCTTCCCTTCTCTCTCTGTCTCTTCTCCTTCCCTTCTCTCTCTGTCTCTTCTCCTTCCCTTCTCTCTCTGTCTCTTCTCCTTCCCTTCTCTCTCTGTCTCTTCTCCTTCCCTTCTCTCTCTGTCTCTTCTCCTTCCCTTCTCTCTCTGTCTCTTCTCCTTCCCTTCTCTCTCTGTCTCTTCTCCTTCCCTTCTGTCTCTGTCTCTTCTCCTTCCCTTCTGTCTCTTCTCCTTCCCTTCTCTCCTTCCCTTCTCTCTCTCTCTTCTCTCCTTTCCCCTTCTCTCTCTCTCTCTTCTCTCCTTCCCTTCTCTCTCTCTCTTCTCTCCTTCCCTTCTCTCTCTCTCTTCTCTCCTTCTCTCTCTGTCTCTTCTCTCAGTCCCTTTTCTCCTTCCCTTCTCTCCTTCCCTTATCTCTCAGTCTCTTCTCCTTCCCTTCTCTCTCTCTCTTCTCTCCTTCCCTTCTCTCTCTCTCTCTTCTCTCCTTCCCTTCTCTCTCTCTCTCTCTCTCCTTCCCTTCTCTCTCTCTCTTCTCTCCTTCCCTTCTCTCTCTGTCTCTTCTCTCCTTCCCTTCTCTCTCTGTCTCTTCTCTCCTTCTCTCTCTGTCTCTTCTCTCCTTCCCTTCTCTCCTTCCCTTCTCTCTCTGTCTCTCTCTCTCCTTCCCTTCCCTCTCTGTCTCTTCTCTCCTTCCCTTCTCTCTGTCTCTTCTCTCCTTCCCTTCCCTCTCTGTCTCTTCTCTTCTCTCCTCCTTCCCTTCCCTCTCTGTCTCTTCTCTCCTTCCTTTCCCTCTCTGTCTCTTCTCTCCTTCCCTTCTCTCTGTCTCTTCTCTCCTTCCCTTCTCTCTCTCTCTTCTCTCCTTCCCTTCTCTCTCTGTCTCTTCTCTCCTTCCCTTCTCTCTCTGTCTCTTCTCTCCTTCCCTTCTCTCTCTGTCTCTTCTCTCCTTCCCTTCTCTCTCTCTGTCTCTTCTCTCCTTCCCTTCTCTCTCTGTCTCTTCTCTCCTTCCCTTCTCTCTCGGTTCTCTTCTCTCTCCTTCCCTTCTCTCCTTCCCTTCCCTCTCTGTCTCTTCTCTCCTTCCCTTCCCTCTCTGTCTCTTCTCTCCTTCCCTTCCCTCTCTGTCTCTTCTCTCCTTCCCTTCCCTCTCTGTCTCTTCTCTCCTTCCCTTCTCTCTCTGTCTCTTCTCTCCTTCCCTTCCCTCTCTGTCTCTTCTCTCCTTCCCTTCCCTCTCTGTCTCTTCTCGCCTTCCCTTCCCTCTCGGTCTCTTCTCGCCTTCCCTTCCCTCTCGGTCTCTTCTCGCCTTCCCTTCCCTCTCGGTCTCTTCTCGCCTTCCCTTCCCTCTCGGTCTCTTCTCGCCTTCCCTTCCCTCTCGGTCTCTTCTCGCCTTCCCTTCCCTCTCGGTCTCTTCTCGCCTTCCCTTCCCTCTCGGTCTCTTCTCGCCTTCCCTTCCCTCTCGGTCTCTTCTCTCCTTCCCTTCCCTCTCGGTCTCTTCTCGCCTTCCCTTCCCTCTCGGTCTCTTCTCTCCTTCCCTTCCCTCTCGGTCTCTTCTTCTACTCTCTTCGCCTTCCATTCTCTCCTATTAGGGGATGATAGGACCCCCTCCGGTTCCCCAGCAGAACATGTCCACCGGTTTGCCCAGTTTTTTTCCCCCCAGTCTATGAGGAGCCTCTGGATGGGACCCTTGTTCCCTCACTCCAGCTCTTTGGGGGTTAATCATGTCCTGTCTGGGATGTGGGTGTCAGAATTCACATGAACGGTTCTCAGAATGAATTTTCAGCCTTTTCCTAGAAGAAGCCCTGAAACCTGACTCTGTGGAGGTCTGCATTGACGGTT